ATTTTCTTATTAAATTATTCACCATCAATTTCAAAACAGAAACTTTGTAATTTTTTTCTTCTAAATTGTATTAGTGCAAACAAATGAATATAAAAATGGCAATTATATCTGTTAACAGAATTATAGTTTGTTGTTATTGAAGGTAAAAGATAAAATGCAAGATAGAGCCACCACTTTAGATAATGCAGAAAGTTGCATAAAGTGATTAAACTGGATCTCACTTCCGTCAGTTTCGTTGCTAACTTGCACTTAGACCTATCGCCAAGAGATTTATAGATGGCCATAAAAGCAGGTTTTAAACATGCTTCAAATCGTTAACTAAGGTTTCCATAAAAGCCACAACACTTTACCCAAGCCATTATTTTGGAGTTCAGTGGAACCGTGAGTCATGCACGTACTTCATTTCGCTGTTACTTTTAACAATCTACAATTCAACATCGAAAAACGAACGAAAGCTTTTGTGACTTGAATAAAGGTGTTACTTTCTTTACAATTTAAGAGCGTTGTTGATCTGTCACTTTCAAACCGGTAAACCTGTTTATTTCTTTCATTAAAATTCGTTTTATTGGCACTAGTTACCAAACCTTAAAGATTGTGATTGATTGAGAAAAAAAATGTAAATTTTTATAGGTCAGATTTATTTATTCATAGATCGTAATTTTGACCTGAACCAGAAAACGTTCAATCTCCAATTCAGCAACCCCAGTGGTATAATTTGTTATGAGAACATGGAGGTTATTGTATTTGTGATAAACTTTAAAAATTGTGATTGATTGAAAAAAATTTTTTACATTTTTATAGGGCAGATTTATTCATTCATAGATCGTAATTTTGACCTGAACCAGGGAACGATCAATCTCCAATTCAGCAACCCCAGTGGTATAATTTGTTATGGGAACATGGAGGTTATTGTATTTGTGATAAACTTTAAAAATTGTGATTGATTGAAAACAAAATTTTACATTTTTATAGGGCAGATTTATTCATTCATAGATCGTAATTTTGACCTGAACCAGAGAACGATCAATCTCCAATTCAGCAAGCCCAGTGGTATAATTTGTTATGGGAACATGGATGTTATTGTAGTTGTGATACTACTTATATGTGTTTTCGACCCGAGAGATTTTACTTGCACCAGTCACCATTCACTACACGGGGAATCTTCGACCAGCTCGATTCGAACTCCCTTTCTCACGAGCATGAATCCAACGTCCTTCCAAACCAAAGCTAACCCTGCCGCTATGAGGGAAATAAAAGTCGAGCATCACTGGCTACGGTTAGTGTGCGGGTGGGTGACCACTTGGATCAGTCTGCGTAGGGGCCGAGGGTGTGCGGTATTGGTCCTCGTTGAACTGTTCTACCGTAAAGAGCTTGATTTCGCGTGCAGGTCGTTGGGCTACTGAAGAGGGGGTGTCATACCCTCTGCAGGGGATCAAAATTGTAATGGCATATCTTCGAATCATCTTCAGGGATGTTTCCCAGACCGTTGCCTATAGCCTATTGTGCAGCTCTAGTGCGACGTAAATGAACTACAGCAACTATGAAGGGAATAAAACAAAAAATATTATTTATTTACTTAAATAAATTCTCCGTGAATTAACTTAAGAGGACGCTTTACTGCGAGAGAAACTTTACATCTCAAATTCTGTTTCACATCCATAACTAATTTTAAATATAATAAAACTGAGTTCGGACGAAACTAAAGTAAGCTATAAAGTTTCAAATGCTGAAAAAGGAATTTCAAAATACAAACAAATAGTTGGAAGAGACTTCTCCCATTGCGTTCTTTTAAGTTATCCTCTCATAGTTTGTCTTCATTTTGATGTTTTGAACTATTCTGTTCAGTATTTGAAGCTTCATAGCCCATGAGTTCAGTCGAGAGAGTGATTAAAAGTTTGGGTCTCTTAACACCTTGACATACGAAGACGTCTGGGAGACGTCATTTCTCTCTTATGTCAAAACAATAATTGACGTGTCTCAGACGTCTTCAACACAGAGATACCAACTTTCCCCGGACAGCGAATAAATATTTTAAAATGGTAGTTTATCAATTGGGATTCTTGGTTTAATAAATTCAATTTAGAAGATTTTTATCCACCACTATTTCTAAATAATTCGTAGGTTTATATAATTCACCACTTTTTAATAGTTATGTCATGCTATACCTTTTACAAAGCAAGCAAAACTAGTCAAATATTTGCAAAATTTAGTTTGTAGTTATTTACCGTTTTTTTTTTTTTTTTTAATTATTTTGCCGTGAAATAAATAGTATTTCTAGACACATTACTATGGTGTTGAATGATACGTCAAAGGGTTAAAGTTAATTTCACTTCTTGAGTTTTTGATCTTCGATCCTAACGTGGTACTCGTGTGTCCCATTTACATGTGTTCTAACACATCGTAAAACTTTTTAGGTGTTTGCTTAATAGTGTAAGTATACAAGTTGTTTTCATTACAATTGTTAAGAAAAATATATTTTTACGTAAAAAAGTTTGACACGCCTACAATAATTTGACATTAATAGTACACAGCGTAATATTTCTTAGAAGTGAAAATACAAAATTACAAAGAATATAATACCGCGTCTAAACTCTTTGTAATTATGAATTCGCAAAATCACAAAAAAATAATAAATTTCAAGGACATTGTATAATTCTGTGAAATGGCACTTTATTTGTACGAACTTGATGCATTTTTCTTTAAACCAAATGTAATTTATAAATAAAATACCAACATTTCGGTTAGAACTTTGTTAATAGTCTTAAAAATATTAAACTACTTTTATTTTTAATTCTTCTCATATTATCTGAACCGAAACACTACTGCATAATTTAAATCAAATTAAGCAACTGCAAAAACTAGCCAAAAAGCTGTTAATTAACGTGATTCTATTAAAGTTCCCTAAGCCAGTCAGTGAAAAGGGAAAAAATCCTCATTCTTTAGATTAAGATGAAGAGAATGCGATTAATTAAGTGGCGAAGGAAACTCAGCAAAGTATTTGGGGAATTTATTTCCTTTTTTTTTGTTTCCCAAGTGAACAACTCCCTTCGAGAAATTCTTTCGCACGTTCCAAAATTCCAAGATTTTGGAATACGTGCTCGTCTGTGCGACAAACCACTATAATTTTTACAAAAAGAACTTTATTTATGGACGATTGGCGATCTGTTTACGGCAGATCGAGTTTCGAAAGTAATAAAACGTTGATCAATAGCTCATTCTTTTCTGCCTTTGTGTGTTGTTGTTAAATATGAGGAATTTTACTGCAAATTGTAGCAATACATAGTGAATACCTCAAGTTTGATATACTATTTCATAACGAAAAAATATTGCACTTGTATTAGAGAACAAGATAAAAAAATCTCTTGAGAGTTCTTACTTTGGTGTTTGCTCAAAATGCGTGTTTCAGAAAATGGATACAGCTTAAAAGTGTACTTTAGATATGGATATAGTGCAAAACGCGGTTTAAGAAAATTGAGAGCTCAAAATGTGTGTGTAAGGAAATCGATACAGTTCAAAAAGCATGTGTAAGAAATGGACAGAGCTCAAAAAGTGCGTTTAGGAAAATTGACAGGGCTCAAAAAGCGTGTTTAAGGAAATGGACACAGCTGAAATTGCGGGTTTAGGAAAATGGGTATGGCTTAAAATGCGCGTTAAAGGAAATGCACGTAGTATTTGATTCTGTTTTTCGAATTCTACTTTATGAAATTTTTATTTTTTAAAAAGTAAACTAATGGATCGAAATAAATTCATGATGTCGCCCATTTGCCTAAATCACATAGAGCATTTCTCAAATTAGTCTATTTCGAAAAGATTTTTGAAGTTAACAGTTAGTTAACAAGGTTGTCACGGGTCTTATAAATTTATAGTAGTGATATTAAATTGATGTGGCGAGAATTTATATTTTTGAAAATCCTTCATCGTTTAATGAATGCAAAGACATTGAGGAAAATCTCACATCTGTAATATGCCAAGCCACCCCGACATCAAAGTCCCCCAATTTGACCCCAAAATGATTATTCTTCTTATCGTTTAAAAAAGCAAGTACAAAATTAATCGTTTAGTTTTTAAATTTGAGTTGAAAACTGAAAAAGGCGAGTTTTGAGCTCTATCCATTTTCTTAACACGCTTTTTGAGGTGTGTCCAAAATAAAAAGCTTACCGACGAGCTTACATTTACAAATTGAATATAAATTCATCATATGAATTGCATATATTTTAAAACATTCGATTTTGATAAAAAAATTCTCGTTTGTCGCATGTTTTTATCAACCTGTACTAATGAAAATGCTATGATTGCATTGGCATTGATTAAGAACTATGATTCTTTTCACTACATTATGCGCAACGCAAATGTTATGCATTTTTACAATCCGAGGCTGAGTTTTTAGCGATTCTAAAAACCAAATATCACCCGAAAATAAATTTAAAAAAAAATTTAAATATCTTTTATTATATCAAGCTTTATTCTACGATTTGAAAAGTTATGCGATGAGCAAAGTCCCCCCATCGCGCTAAAGGAATCCCAAATATCTTAGAATATGAATGATAAATACTATTAATTTCATTATCACTGACAATATTTATACTTACTATAAATAATTATAAATACCTACTTATTAATTACATTTGGAGTAATTTCGAGATTTTTAAGTAAGAGGTGTGTTTGCTGTTGGTTAACTACGTTATAGTATGCATGACTATGTTAACAATTATAAGTATAAGCTATGTATTTTTCACACTTTCAGCATTCATGGTTTCTTTTTTCAATCTTACAATATGTAACATACATATGTATGTAATATTATATCGCAGTAAAATATTATATAGCCCGGGTGCCATAAAAAAAAATTTAAATCTTATTAGAATGCTGCGATTTGGAACTGTTTGGGAACATCTAGATACATTGCTTTTCATTAAAATGAAAAAAGTTTGAAGGTTACAATAGGAGTCATGTAGTAACTTAAAGTTGCTGTAACTGAAATAGTTTTCGTTGTATTTCAGGTCAGCCATGATAATACTTGGTATACCGGCGAACACCTAATGAAGATGGTCCTGAAGGGCTCTCCAAACCAAGCTGACAACTTACCTGAATACGAAATGCTGGCAAACGGCAATGCAGGCAAGAAGGAAGACTCTAAAAAAACCATGGTTAGAATTCAGGAGAACCCTTTGGCAGAGGTGACAGTTGAAAAATCCCCACTTCCACAGACCGAAATGGTGCAGCTGAAAATAGAAAAGGGAAGAACACGATGTGTGTCTCGTTCTAGGCACAGATTCAGGACAACTTTTGAACTAGTTCTGAGTTTGACCACACTTCTTTTAGGTTTATTGTGTTGTATACTCTTCTACATGATCTTCCTACAGGCTGAGCAACCTAGTAAGTGCATTTTTTTATCTCTTTGGTAAGAAATGATTTGAAGTTTTTACCACAAATACACCATCCCATTGGGTAACATAAGCTTACATTTATGAAGATAATCCTTTATACATTTTTAGAAAAATTAGATCAACGTCAAACATTTATGCAGTACAAATTTGATATTAAAAGTTTAAATTGAACTACATTTCTCTTCATTTCATGTTAAATCTCAATATGAAGGTTCACAATCAAGGTTAACATGTATGACTATAGAATTCAATTTATCTCCATATTAAGATTGCAGCAAGTTTGAATGATATTTATCTTCAACATTTCTAACAGTGTCGTATTCAAAACACAATACACAGTTTTGAATACTACACAAGTGTAGTATTCAAAAATTAGAACATATGACAAACTTTCCTCTTTCCCCACTATTACAGCATACCTGCCAACTTTTACGCATTTGACGTAAAAATTTATTTCTATATTTAAAGTGGTAGTAAAATGTATGTTTCCTATATATTTCTTGCATTTATAAACTTAATTTATAAATTTTTTGACTACCACTATTTTTTAAAAATTAAGCTTATATAATAAGATGTAATACTGCTCTTCCGCCTCTGAGTTTTCGCTCGCCACTCTACCCATCTTTCCATTGTCAACATTACAGGGGCCCACGGGCTCAAGCTCATATGAAAGAGTCAATTGTCCGCTTCGAGGACAGGCACTCTGTAAGAAGCACCAGTTCAAGTTCCGTTGTACTCCGCATTAGCTTATTCAAAATACAACGAATGTTTCTGCCTAAAATTGTAATTTAAATTCCATATTACTACCACTGGGGAAAATCACCCTCGAAAGGAGTAAAAGTTGGCAGGTATGTACAGCGCCATCTGAACAGGCAGTAGATGCTCAGACTTTGAACAGAATAGACCCTTCTTTTTTCTCCTTCTCATAGTTATTCAAGTTTATGTTTGTCCGCGTGCTATTTGTAATTAATAAAATATTTGGCACTAAGCTTTCCTTTATTTAAACCCCGACATCTAGCTATGGTCACAAACAGTAGTATATAGGGTGTTTCCACGGTGTCGTGCATGTGCTCTATGAAATTAGTTATATTTCTCAAAAAGAAATTTGTTGACATGTATTTATGCCTGAAATATTTTAGTATGGAATTTAAATGCACCAATAGAACTTTATAAAAATCCTTTATAAAATTACGCCCTATTACCTGAAATTTATAATTTTCATACACATGGAAAAAAAATTCGTAGTGATAGTATTGCATTTCGAACTCATGGTATTGTGAACTATGGTAGCTTATGGAAAGTTATAAAAAATTGGTGATAACATTTTCATCAAAGCTAGCGGAAAAGTATCATTTTCGCTACAATTTTAATTTTGAAAACAGATAATATTACCACGTTTTCGATACTAACAACATAATAAATTCGATCTAAACTAGACTTTTCTTTTTGATTAATTCCCAGAAAGTAATTCCCAGTCCTCCAAATGGCGTTTTTTGAAAATGTATTTAATGGAAAAAGTTTCTCTATTTTTTTTTATTTTTAATGGGAAGTTAGAAAGGCCGGAACAGCCTGGTCGGTAGGGCGCTGGGCTCATGTCCAAGAGTTCCTGGGTTCGATCCCCGTCGGCTGAAAACTCCCCGTGTAGTAAATGGTGACTGATGCACGTTAAATCTGTCGAGTCTCAAAGTCCTCCATTTTCCCGTAACAAATCAATACCTCTGGGGGTACTGATCCAGAAATTTCCTTGTCTTCTGAATTGGTTCAAAATTACAAGGCTACGGAGTTGAACATTAGTAGTAGTAAAACCAAAAATTGGGTCGGCTGTTCAACGACGGATATAAAAAATAAAATAAAATGAGAAGTTAGAACTAAATTCATCAGAAGTTATTTCTGTTAGAAACTTTTTCGGATGTTTCGAAAAATGAATTTCTTGAACATGAAATGGATTTTCAATCTATAGACATATTGGAAGAAAATTCTGCCAGAAAAGTTTCGTCGTCTGTGTTCAAATCTAATTGAAGATATGCCTTTCTGGGCATTGCTTCCTTTCGTGTTTATTTATCTCATTGATTCAGGCTTTTCATGTTCACAACGTTCAAAGCAATTTGTGTTCGAAATTTTTTGCACTTTATCATGTGTCCAAAAATTATAAAAGGAAAAAAGAGTGGCTAAATACACATTAACATTCATAATTTTATTTTGTTTAAACTTTGCCGCGCAGCTCAGGAACACATTTTTTTTTCAATTGTTTCTGACTGTCATTTAAAATTGAGAGTCAATCGCGTGTCTGGAAGAGAAAATAATCACATTTTGTCAGTTTTTTAATGAAAACTGTCGATGATAACAAAAAAAAACAATTGATATGTTATCTGAAATGTCACATTTTATTTAGATAAATTACTCGAATAAACTCATTACGCTTATGATGTTCCTTTTTTTAATAAATTAAAATGTGCAGGACCACGAAAGTTTTCGTGATCTTTGTTCCAAATTCGATTATATTCAAGGATTCTTGAGCTAACTAACGTTTAAGATACATAGCCAGTTGCATGTTCGAGGCCTTTAACCTCTCCATCATGTGTTACTTCGTCTTGCAGTAGTGAATTAAGAGAAAAGATTGTCTTACATAATCCTACAATTGATGCAAGAACGCAATTGATTAAAAGACAAAATTATCATTGAATACGAATAGGAATTAGTTTTTTAGAAAAAGTGGTAATTAACAGATCCACTAAAAGAGATAATTGTTTGGAGGACAACTATAGCCATCATTTGTGGCAACGTGTTAAACAATTAGTGAGGAAAAATATTTTTCCCCAAATTTTCCATGTTTTGTTGCTTATGTTTCAAAACATTTTAAGAAAAAATACAAGTTTAAATGAAGATAGTGCGTATATATATATATATATACGCACTATCTTCATTTGCTGAGTAAGATTGCAGAATGAGTATCTAGTAATAATGGAAAAGGGGTATGAGTCAAATAAGTTGAAAACGACTGCTCTGGTACCTCCTAATCTTATATTTTCAGTTGGAATAGAATTCCGGGCCACAGATGTTTGTAAGTGAGCGTAATGTTTTTGATTTTTTTTCAACCGAAATGGATAAGTTTTCTAATCTTTGACTACTGATTCTGGCCAAACCGTTATATCACATTTAATGTTTACCAGTAACATTAATGCTTTTTAAATTTGATACGATTCAAATTGCACGAACGATACACTCTTTCTATGTTTTACGGCAAAAACTGAAAAAGTTTCCAAAATGTCGCATTTTTTATCCATCAAAAGTTTTCCTCACAATATCAGAAACCCTAGCGAGTTCATATTATTCTTATTTGAGATTCCTTAAGCGAAATGGCTTTCTGAAAATTAATCAAAAGCATGACTTTTTTTCTGTTTAATTTGATTGAGCATCCTTAGAAGTCTGTTTAATTCCTCTTTTTCAAAATACTTAATAAACTTCACTTTCTAATTTATTTTGAATTATACATTTCTTTAAAAGAACTTAAATCTCAATATAGGTTCACATATATAATTTCAATTTATCAGAGCTTCTTTAGATTAAAAGACAAATTATAGACATTGCATTATATTTAGTATTTTTTACACTTACATACAATATCCACTTTTCCAATACTGTTTACACCTAATAACTAATAACGTGTTTAGAAACTATATTTTAAAGCTTGAATAAGAGATTTTATAAAAATATATCCAATCTCTAATTTGTCTTTAATTTAATTCTCTTTGCCCATTAATGCTTAAAAGAAACTATTATAAAAATGAAACAAAAGCTCATGTAATTTTCAGAAGAAAAAAAACACTAGGAAAAAAAACTATTTAAACACTTCAGAATAATTTTTAAAAATAAAAAATGTTATTAATGATTTAGAGAAGGCAAGAAAAGACAACATAAAAACCTATTTACTTTTTAAAATCTGTTAAAATGGATTTTTTTTTAAACTTTTCTCTATTCTTGCTGGAAGATTTATTTTAACGAAATAGCTTACCAGTCATACATTTAAACAAACAATTCTTTTATGTAGGTTATAGGGAAATAAAAAAACAAGGTAGGAAAATAACCTATACGTGACACACAAATTATTCTAAAACTAAGTTACTTCTTTTTACAAAATATTTTGGAAATCATTCCTTGTGCACATACTTCAATATTCACTTTAATAGTTTAAAAGTAAAAAATTACACAGAAAAATGTACACGCAATTTTTAAGCAAGTTATTATTGAAAATATTGTTGGTGACATGCCGGGAAAGTAAGATATTAGGTATCCGTGACAGTTACAGTAAATTGACGTTTTTGGTGAGAATCACCCATACATTACTTATAAATTTTGTCATGGACAGCATATATTAAAGAGTTCGGCTGATAAGGTGGTCGTTTTTTTTTTATTATTCTCAATCCAAACTCAAAAGTAGAGTTTCGCAATGTTTGGAAAAAAATTTCATTAATTAATTTTATTAATATAATTGCAAGAAAACTTATCTTTAATATTATATTTATTTATATTGCAAAAATGCCAATTTCTAAAGTTGTAATACGAATTTAATATAACAGTGCAACACCAACTGGCAGATAAAGAATTTATACTCACTTGTGGAGTAATAGATTCAAAAAATTTTCTAGAAAGATTCTACATTTTATTTTAAAACAAAAAATGACTCATTATGAGCTTTACATTCCGAATAAAAGTTTTAGAGAGTTTTACACCTTTTAACATTCATCCGTTACATTCAAAACTTTTCCTAGAAAGATACTAAATTTAATTTAAAATAAAAATATAACTTATTATGAACCTTACTTTCCGAACAAAAGGTGATTTTTACACTTTTTGACATCCAGTTGTTGCATTCAAGACTTTTCCTAGAAAGATACTAAATTTTATTTAAAAACAAAAAATAACTCATTATGAACCTTAATTTTCGAACAAAAGGTGAGTTTTACACCTTTTAACATTCATCTATTACATTCAAAATTTTTCCTAGAAAGATACTAAATTTTATTTAAAGGAAAAATATGACTTATTATGAACCTTACTTTCCGAACAAAAGGTGAGTTTAACACCTATTAACGTCCAATTGTTACATTCAATATTTTTCCTAGAAAGATACTACATTTTATTTAAAAACAAAAAATAACTCATTATGAGTTTAACTTCCCAAACAAAAAGTGAGTTTTACACCTTTTGACATTCATCCGCTATATTCAAAACTTTTCCTAGGAAGATACTAAATTTTATTTAAAAGAAAATTATAACTCATTATGAACTTTACTTTCGGAACAAAAAGTGAGTTTTCACCTTTTGACTTTCATTCGTTATATTCAAGACATTTCCTATTACATTTTATTTAAAAACAAAAAATAACTATTTATGGAACCGTACTTTCCGTACAAAACGCGAGTTATGTACTGTACCTGTCAAAAGGTGTAAACCTTTTGACGGGAAAACGATTGAGCCATCGCTGATAAATATCCTCATACCAACCAGAAATGTAAAAGTATTACACTTAATTCAGAGAACAATTCATTATTAATGCATATGCCTTTAAGTTTGATTTTAACTTCAATCTCTGAGTTACATAAAATGAATTTTTCTAAAAGATTCCTTTAATCACAAAATAGCATGTTTCACAGTTATTATCTCAATGTACCATGATCCTCTTTTCTTCCGGAAATGTAAAAAGATAATTCGTCGTGATAGTATGACAATTCTATTTGTTTAAGTCGAAAAGATCTACATTTAGACTGAAGTAATCACTCGTTTATATCTTTCTTTTTCCCTTCTTCAGACAGTTCTTTATTCCCGAGCAATTGCCGAATTCAATGGAATTAGAGATAGAGAGTCATTATTGGAGACATAAACTAGGAAAAGCCTTAATTTCCGCCAGACGAATTGATCAAGAACGTTCACAACGTACCCACTATTATTTTGGGGGAAAATCTTAGATGTTGGCTTCGTAGATTCGCTACCGGCGAGTTTGATTACCAGCCTTTTCGACCACCAAGGCTATTTGGATTAAATGAAAAGAGGTAATGACGATCCCTGGGCGTGGTAGTATTATGGGATTGGCATAATTTGGCGATAAATATTTCAGAATCTTTATCTTACAAGTAATTTCGAAGATGATACTTAAAAATTTAGCGAATATTTTCAGAGTTAATGGAAATGATTTTATGTACTCTGATTTTCAAAAATTAATCTACATTTTCTTAAATTTTGCAGAGATAAGCCTATTTGAGTTTAAGATCCTAAAAAAAGCCATAGAGCTGCAATACAAATAGAACAAGCCCACTGTTATATTTCCCCTACTATCTTCTTTCCAAACAAAAGAGGCGTTATGTGATATTTGAAATGAGTCCTCTTTTCTGGCAGATTCGTGCATTTACAGGCAATGTAGGAAAGTTAAAAGTAAAATAGCGGATCATTTTTCGACAATAAGACTTTGATGGATTAAAAATTCTTTTAGAATTCCAATTTATAATTATGTTTAAAACTGTAAAATATTGTTTACATTTTTACAAAAATAAGAAAATTTTAATTTGACCTAACCTAAAGATTGAGAGGTAACCAAATATTGTTGTGCATAGTTTTTGATGGAAAACAATGTTTTCTTGTAGATTCTGGAAGGCTGAAATGTTAGATTTCAATATAGTTTTCATAGCTGATACTTTTAATTAGAAACTTCAAGTTAGGAACTTAAGAACTAGAATTTGTTATCTTTGCTTTCAAAAAGTTTAAAATTTGCGTTCTCCCTTTCCCGAAAATTCTAGATACATTGGGAGAGACAAGATTACAAAACAACAAGCGTGCAGCGTTTGTCCATTCTCCCAAGTTACATCCCTATGGGGGAGTGGGGTTTCGTTACTTTGCAGGTTTAGAGAGGTAAATATGCATCGTAATCCCATCACTGATGTTTTATTTTAAAATAAAAAAACCATTGCCCATCACACACTTGCCCCGTATTGCTTACTGTTTTTTTTTTAGTTTCAGAGCCATTGGCCGGTATTCCCTACAAGTGTCCACTGTTCTTTACTCTGGTGTGTTTAAGAGTACGGACCATTGCGCGATATTCCCTACACTGAATTTTTTTTCGAATCTAAATTGTACGTTTCTTCCGGGCAAAAAATAAATAGTCCAAATAACGGAGGAAAATGAATGAATAGAAAAATAAAATTATTACGTCAAACTCGAAGCGTCAAAATGCGTAAAGGTAATATTTTATTTTCGATTTCCAAATTTTGAAATCGAAAATAAATACTATTTGCCGCATGAGTTTCAGGAAAATTGCGACAGGCATGCCTTACCTTTCTCCACCTGAAAAAGTTAATGAACAGTTCACTCCAATAGGAATTGAACAATCAGCACTGGGAGCTTTTTGTTTTGTAATTTTCGCTCTAACGAAATATTTTCAATTTGATTAAAAAAAATTATGAAAATATGATATCATGCAATGCAAATTTTTATGGACTTCTTGCAATGCGCGAAATAATTAGAGCAAAGCATTATATTTTTCATGTTTTTTCTATTCATTCTAGAATTATTTTCCTCCTTTTTTTCATTCAAACTTCTTTAAGAAAGGGGATAACGATAAAAAAAAGTTTCACAGAAAATTAACTAAGCAAAGTAATATAACTTCATTCATAGAGTGTCATGTTCTTCTTAGGATTTAATAAAGAAAATTGTATTATACTCTTAATAATGTATGTATATGTTCTTAAGCTTGAAATAATCTCTGGTGAAATGATGAATTTTATAAATGTTTTTTCGTCATTTTTATATTTTTTTGTTTTATTTCTAGGTTTAAATATTTGCCTAACAGAAGAGTGTGTAAAAACAGGTGAGAATTGCATATTTACTTGCATGTTTATAATGAATTTTATCTTGCTTATTTTTTTGTAAAACCACTGTTGTTTACTACTTTTTTGAATTGTAAAACTTTAGCTAACGGACTTAAGAAATATTGCATATAAAATTTTGATTTTTAAAATTCCAGGTTTAATAAAGGCAATGTAATAAAATATTATTCAAAGATATAAATAGCTCAATTAATAATAACTAATTGACTAATTCAGACATATTCATACTCTGTTTCAAAATTATAGAGAAAACATAACAATTATGAAAAAGAAGCTTATCATATGTTGATCTTATAATTATGTTTTAGTTCTACTTAAAGTTGTGTATAGTTGTGTTAAATTGGCATATGAATCAATTTTTTTAACAAAGAAGAAAAAAAATATATATATATAAATAATAGTTATTGTAGAACTGTTTCAAGCTAATAAAAAGTAATAATCAAAACCAGGTAAGTACTTTATTTATGTCACACTAGGGCTGCACTATGGGCTATTGGCGACTGTATGAGAAACATCCCTGAGGATGATCCGAAGACATGCGATCACAATTTCGATCCTCTGCGGAGGGGGTGACTCTTCCGCTTTGGTTGCCCAACGACTTGCGTGGGAAGTCAAGAGCTTTTCACACTCTCGGTCCCAACGCAGGTTGATCAAAGTGGTCACCCACTTGCTTACTGACCACAGCCACAGATGCTTGACTTCCGTGTTTTATTGGGAACCGTGCCTTCGCAATAAAATCCACTGAGAACATTTAGAAACACTACATGATTCGTTAGAAATACAGTAGGGAACCGATTATCCAGAACGATCGGGACCATCGCTATTCCAGATAACTGATTTTTCCGGTTTTCTGAATCGCTACAAAAAGCTGTTTTTTTTATTGTTAAACCCAACTTTAAAAAAAAAATATTTGGACATAATCTTAAAAAGAAGAAAAAACGATGAAGTAATACACTAATGATTATTTCCAAAATGATGGTAAGGTAAACATCTTTCAAAAAAGAAAGAAAAATCCTAAAATCTTATGAGGGAAAAAACATTTTTTTTAAAGAAATGGCGGGAAAATTTATCAAATTTCGTTCTGGTTTTTTGGTTTTCCGGTTTTCTGATTTTCGGATAACGGGTTCTGTACTGTACTAAGAGAATAGAAAAAATAAATACTTAAGATATTTTTGAAAATTCCATAGATTATTAATTAATTAGTTTGAAAAGTTCATGATTAATGCATTCATTGAAATTGTTAATAATAGTAGTGACAAATAATTAAATCTTTTCAAAAATAGTGAAATATTTTAATTACCCGTATATATAGTTTATAATTATCTACCTGTATAAAATAACAGCCTTGATATATATGTCTAAATGCAAACATAATTCATAAAAATTAATTTTATTTTTCGAAAAAATCACGTTTATCGATCAGCTGTTTACCATGCAACAAATAAACCAGTGACTGGTTTATCTACGCTATCTTATTTCTAAACGAATCAAAATTACTTTAACTTAACTTTGCATGTTTAAATTTGTCAATTATTAAATTAGGTATTCGTTGATAAAAACGGTAGATTGAATAAACAATGAACTAGTTTACTGTTTTTTTTTCTCTTCTGATTGTTGTCTAATCAATATTTTTGAGTTATTCATTAATTTTTCTACTAACAAAAGCCTAATTGATAATTTTATTTTTTCATTTGTTATTTTGTCAGCCGCCTACCTCCTTACTAATATTTTTCACTAATATATTTATAATTTTTTTCCACATGTTCTCTAAAAATAATTTTTTTTTTATTTACTCATTTTTTTCCGTTGGGAACTGCGTGTTTAAAGAAAATTTGTTAAAACAAATTTGTTTAAAAATTCTATGTCTATTCTAGGAAAAAAAATTACATACCATTTTTTAATATTACAATTCATTTCTTTGTTATTACAGCGGCGTCTCTTCTGAATGCCATGGATCAAAGTTCCGATCCGTGTGAAGATTTCTTCCAATATGCTTGTGGAACGTGGAATAAATTACATATGATTCCCCAAGACAGAAGTAGTATTAGCACTTTTGAAGTCATGGCAGATGATCTTCAAGTTATTTTAAAAGGTACAGATATCTTTTGATTAAAAATAATAATCTTAAATAAGAGTTCATATAAATTATATATTATTCCCTTCGAAAATAGTATTAGCGCTTTTGAATTCATGGCTGATGATCTTCAAATTATTTGAAAAAGTACAGATCGGTTTTGATTTCTAATAATTATCTGTAAGAGAAATTTACAATTATGATTCCCTGATACAGAAGTAGTATTAGCACTTTTAAAGACACGGCAGATGATCTTCAAGTTAAAGGTTAAAGATAACTTCCAATTAAAAATCTTAAATAAAAGTTCATATAAATGAAAAATGATTCCTCATGACAGAAGTAGTATTAGCACTTTTGAAGTCTCGGCAGATGATCTTCAAGTTCGATACAGATAGCTTTGATTTAGAAAAATAACCTGCAATAGGAATTTGAAATGTAAGTTAGATATGATTCCCCAAGACAGAATTCATGGCTGATGATCTTTAAATTATTTGAAAAAGTACACATCGGCTTTGATTTCTAATAATTATCTGCAAGAGAAATTTACAATTATGATTCTCTGATACAGAAGTAGTATTAGTACTTTTAAAGACACGGCAGATGATCTTCAAGTTAAAGGTTAAAGATAGCTTCCAATTAAAAATCTTAAATAAAAGCTCATATAAATTAAAAATGATTCCTCATGACAGAAGTAGTATTAGCACTTTTGAAGTCTCGGCAGATGATCTTCAAGTTCGATACAGATAGCTTTGATTTATAAAAATAACCTGTATTAGGAATTTGCAATGTAAGTTATATATGATTCCCCAAGACAGAATTCATGGCTGATGATCTTCAAATTATTTGAAAAAGTACAGATCAGTTTTGATTTCTAATAATTATCTGTAATAGATATTTACAATATAAATTACATGTGATTCCCCGATACAGAAGTAGTATTAGCCCTTTTTAAGACACGCCAAATGATCTTCAAGTTATTTTAAAGGGTAAAAATAGCTTCCAATTAAAAATCTTAAATAAAAGTTCATATAAATTGCATATGATTCCCCATGATACAAGTATTATTAACACTTTTGAAGTCTTGGCAGATGATTTTCAAGTTCGGTACAGATAGCTTTGATTTAGAAAAATAACCTGCAATAGGAATTTGCAATGTAAGTTATATATGATTCTCCGAGACAGAACACTTTACTATTAGCACTTTTAACGTCAGGGACGATAGTCTTTTTTAAAAGCTAGAGATAGTTTTTAATCTATAGAAATGTTTATTGGGAATTCATATTACACTCCGCTTCATTCTTCCTGAAACACTTAATTAAAGTGAAAATAAAATCTTAATAACCTCTAAGAACATTACGAAACATCTCTTGCCATTTTTTAAATTTTATCAAGTTTTTGTCGACTCCATAGAAATTACTTATTCTCTAAGAAAGAAGTATGTATAAGACCTTTTTAAGTCATAGATGATTTTCAAGTTATTTAAAAAGACACAAATAACTTTTTATAAAATGAACTTTAATAAAACTCATGATAATATTAGCTCAAGTGTTTTCTTTCATTTATAGTTTAAGACATTTGCGATGAGTTTTCATTGTATACTCAAATCTATTCAACAAATAAGGTCTCAAATCATTTTTTTTTATAAAACTCTGAATTAATTATGTGCATTTTGATGTATTAATTTTATTGTCGAATTACTTTGCAATTTATTTTTACCTTAAAGTTTTAATTTGAAACTAAAAATATTCTAAATTTTTCAATAGCAAATTAAAAGTTTTTAAAATTATGATAATGAATTATATGAGTTTCGTAAACTTATTAAGTTTCATTTTATAGGTCTATTAGAAGAACCTGCCAATAATTATGATAATAGTGCCACAATCAAGGCGAAAACATTTTACAAGTCCTGCATATCTCAAGGTAAATAATAATAAATTTCTCCGGATATTGACAGTTTTAACATTTTTTGTTACAGACATGAACACAATGAAATAGAATAGTTGATTAAATCCATACCTAAACAAGGTCAGAAAATCCACGCAGTCTTAGTTGTTATAAGTGCATTTGTTGATTTGCGATTAAACTATGTGGATATTTATGGACTATGTGGATTGGGTAAGTTGACACTTTTTGAACTAGTACTGTACGGCATAGCCTGGTCGGAAGGGCGCTGAGCCCATGTCCGAGAGTTCGTGGGTTCGAACCCCGCCGGCCGAAGACTCCCAGTGTAGTAAAGTGATTGATGCACGTTAAATCTGTCGAGTCGCAAAAGTCCTCCATGGTCCCATAACAAATCAGTACCTCTGGGGGTACTGGATTGGAGATCGATCGTTCTCTGATTCAGGTCAAAACTACGAGAATGAATGAATGGATGTTTGAATGGGTCCTCCCTATAAACGGGTGTGACGTATGGTGTGGCAGAAGTCGAATTCTTGGTCATAGATGACGCCACTGGAAAACAAGAGCAATCGCACCCCCTCTGCCTAAACAGGCATACGTCAACAACAACAACTGTACAGCATCTAGATGTTTTTAGTTTTTCGATTGTATGCCTTTTCAAGAACATATTTTTGTGTAATTCATGATCTTATGACTAGACACCTGCACATTGCTTGCAAATAATATCTATAAAATTAATTTTGATAGGACTTTGCTAAAAACAAATCACGGTGTGAAAAAGAAAATTATTTTCTCTGACTATAATCTCAATTTTAGAGCTTAGGTAAAAATCGAATGACGATGTGAAACAGTTTATTTTCTTACTACTTTCTTATTTTCAGTCCAGATCGATGCCATAGGTGATAAACCTCTCAGGGACGTGGTTAAAGAACTGGGAGGTTGGCCAGTCAGTGAAAGGGACTGGGTGGAGCCAGAGTGGCCCCTCGAGCATTTATTGGGTCAGCTAAGAGGTGATTACAATCAAGGAATCATCATAGAACAATGGGTAGGACCAGATGATAAGAATTCCTCGGTTAACGTCATTCAGGTACGAACTAGGTAAAGCTCTGCACCTAAGTTTTTCTGCATGTCCATGAAATTTTTATAATATATATTTTTTGTTTTAATATCAATAGAACATTTACTGAATAACAATGAAAGAAGTAAGAACATTATAAATGTAAAATTAATTTAACGCCAAATGAGCTAAAGCTACTCAAACAAAATCTTAATTTGGAAAAAATTTACGAGTATTAGTTGTTACGCTTGTGTTAAAAATCAAAAGAATTTTCAGATTTGGTTGATTATCTTCAGAATGTCTTGACTAATTTTGGTGAAATTTAGATTAAACACAGATTAATAATTCAACAAAAAGTAATCCTTCATTAGTTATAATGCAAACTCATGATAGCGTGTGACAGTCATCGCAGTCGAAAAGTAAGAAACAGTGGTTAAAGAATCCGAACAAACAAATGGATTAATAGTGGGTATGGCTTCCCCTTACAGTTGTTTTCAGGCTCTGAATGATTGTTGGAGGGGAATTGCCTTTTTCAGAGTGTCCTAGATATGCTCTATATGGTCAAAGTCTACATCTGATGCCAAAATATATCTTAAAAAGACACGGAAGAATGTGAAGCTATTCAACATGATGCTTTCCCAGACCCTCAAACTTCCGCTACCCTTACGGTATGGAGGGATAGATCATATGAAAATATGATCTATCCCTTGGAGGATAGATCCTCTTGGAGGATAGATCATATGAAAATATAACCCGCTATCTATTCCAATATCCGAAAAATCAACTATTATGATATCAGAGATCTGATTATCTGGCCAGCCATGTTAGGCCCTTTTTTCCATATCTGATATTTAGACTAGTAGCATATATATCTGACACTCAGACTACTTATATCTGTCACTTAGATTTAAGAACAGTGATTAAGTGTTAGAACTAACTTATTTTTCTAAGATACAGTGGGTCTTGATTTTATTTTAATACTCAACAACGTGTGGCGTCATAGAACTCATCCGGTTGGCAATTTTCAGGAAAGTGAAGATTGGCCAGTTGGATCTCCTCACATATATCCTATAAAACATGCCTGAAGCGCTTTTAGGAAGACATTTGGAACTCCAAATTTCCTTCAAACTATCTGCCTGGAGACAGTGTTGCTAGACAGGTCGATTTAATTGACACAGGAACTCCTACACTGCTTTATTACTTGTATGGAATGACTGTGTTAGCCTGTATTACTGAAAGAGTAGGCCTTACCACTCTATTAATTCTTTTTTTTTTTTTATTCTTCAACCACTATTTTTTACCATCAAACTCCGATGAGCGTAACACCTGATCATGTGTGAGAAGTATAACTGTTTATTTATTCTTATTATTGCATTATAATAATATACCTATACTCAAGTCAAAATTTCATTAAAACCTACTATTCAGTATTTCTGAAAATAATTAATTAAATCTGAAAATCCTCTTAATTTTGAACAGCAGTGCATTTTAAAGGCATCCAAATTTAGAGAGCAAAGCTATCAATGTAGTAAACTCATGAAAAAAAACGAAAAAAATAATAATTTTTTTTTTACGGATTAACTCAAGAACAACATCTAAGTGAAACCGTAAATCCAACTAAAATAAATTGTTCGTCGAGAGTTTCTCTATGAATTTTTTTGCCAATTTCGTCTAGATTTCTGGGAATCTCTTCATAGTTTGAAAAATTCTAACTATTTCATAAAAGAATTTTCTAGTATTCCACACTTTCCACATGATTAGAATTTATTAAATTATGTTTTGCAACAACTGGAATTTTTACCATATTTCCTCCGAACCATTTTTTTCCTAACCTCGTCTTACTTTTGATTATGTTGTTCGATCTTGTCCCCCCAACTTTATTGTTAAACCCCACATTTTTATTGTTGTAAATTGTTAGTCATTTTTATCGGCATTTCGGTGTTTTGACAGTAAGGATGGTTCTTCATTATAGAACTCATGCATATCTGTTAACTTGACATTATGTGGCCTCTTTTTACGTCGCTCCATTTTAGGCGTAGAAGAGTGATTTCTGAAAGAAAAAAATATAGAAGCCAACTAGAGATTAGGCTCAGTATATAAGCAAAGACAAACTTATTTACTATTTGCATATAATAACGCAAAATATTCGCGCCAAGAAATGATTTAAAGAAAAAGATCTAAATTGTTTCAATTTTAAAATTAATTTAAAAGTACCGAAGAATTATTTGTAGAATAACTGAAAAAATACTGGCATTGTTCTGTTTTTGAGATTTACTGCAATTAGTAGATGATATAAATATTTCTGCCTATTTTTATTTATTTATTTCTTCTGTTTTTAATTGCAGCTCGATCAGATGTCATTTGGTCTTCCGAGTAGGGAATATTTCCTTAAAGACAGCAGTGAAAAGGAACGAAAAGCTTATTTAAAACTCATGGTGGAGGTAGCCATTTTGTTCGGTGCGGATAGAGAAATAGCTGAAATGGACATGACTGACGTTCTAGATTTGGAGATTCGGTTTGCTAATGTAAGAACAGTTCTGTTTCTTTAAAGTTCTATCATTTTAGTAACATTCATAGAAATTAAATATCTGATTGCGAAATAGCTTCAACTTTATGGATTCTAGGTCGAAATATTTTAAAATTTAACTAGCTATGGTGAATACAATCCTATTTCTTTAAAACTCTCTTATTTTTGTAATATTCATAGAAATTGATCCGCTAATATCAAAATAGCATTTGCATTAACTTTGTAAAAGGTATTGTAATAATTTAAAACTTTAATTTAAAAGGAGAGAAAAAAAAGTTATTGTTAGTAAAAGTAATTTGCTTACCATGTGCTAAATAAAAAAAGTCCTTCTTCATCTGCAAAAAATAATTACAACTTGTAAATTAAACAATATTATTGACTTTTTTCTTATTATCATAGTTAATTACAATAAAATACTAAGATTAACAAAATTATGAATCAGTAACATTGATAAATTATTTAATTTTCCTTTCAAAAATGTGACAGTTAATTATGGCATATTTAAAAATTTACGTAACTAATATTATTACGTAACTATATATGTATATATAGCTTGAAATAATTGCAGTCTTAAGCCATCAGACGTTCTAAACAGGTTTATTTAAATGTAGGCTGGTATTGCTAACAGTTCACGTCCCCACTCCTGCAAAGGAGGGGGAGTGGACAAGACTCCTGACAATTCCGGAACACCTTATCAGGATCAACTCATGATGAAAGGACACGCAAAACTATGCGTTCTTACGTTTTATACCAACACAGATTTGAGGTAAAAAGGCACACTTCGTACATTCCTTTGTTTTGGTGATGTTTTGT